TTAAGGTTTATAAAGTTGCTTTGAAAATACTAAAATATATAACATATGCAGATGTTCACCAATTAAAAAATTTATTGTCAAAATGAATTGATAAGCTTATATCTCAAATTTTACAATCAAACAAGTTTTCCTTTGATTTTGTATCACTCTTTAGTAGTTTTGTTACCAAAGTCGATATTTAGAGCACTTTTATCAGAAAATCTAACTTGGTGTTTTCTTTCACCGGGTGATGTCAAATAATGGTACTTCTTTTTTTTGAAAGTACAATAATGGTACTTTTAAAAATGATATTTATCAGTTTTCAAAAATGGTATTGAAATGTTCACCTATAATGTTAAAGATGAATAGTAAAGAGAGAATTCCTTAAACAAGAGTAAAAAAAGTTTTGAAATTCCAAAATAGAACTATCATGTTTTTTATTCCCTAAATATGAGTAAATTTCTGTTAACTTTGGCATTACTAGACTTTAAAAATGGCATTTTCTTCCAAACTTGGCAGATTACTCTTGTTCAGGGAATAAAAAACATGACACTCCTATTTTGGAATTTCAAATCGTTCTTGCTCCTATTTAAGGCAATTTCTAAATAGTAAACCGTTTCCATGGCTATCATATTTGTATCTGTTGTATAATGTAAAGGCCACCTTTTTGTTACACCCGAACCAATAAATGTTTTCAAATCACTTTTCATCTTTTTTTGGAAAAGAATGGAAATTTCTCACAAATAAGACAAGTTGCAAAGTCTATTTATATAGGCGTGATAGAGACAACTATTGTTCATATGCAATTTTGATTAGCAGAAGCTATGATTTTTGAATCAAGATGATAACCTACTGTATACCTTACAAATACAAAACCATCTAATGTAAGTTACCTAAACCTTCCGAGCCAAGGTTCTTTGTTTCGTAGCATGTTGGACAACCTTTTCCTCCACGGGAAGACCCTTCCGCCGCCTCACATCATCAATAAGCTTCCTTGCCGTGTTCTGGAGGACGCTTGAGCCATCACCAAACTCTTCCAACTCTTCTTCAGTCTTGGGCACAAAGAAAGGATCTTCTGGAAGCGCTTCCCAGTGGCTGAGGACAAGTAAAGCACTGGCGGCACCGGAAGTCCATCTCCTAAGCTCATCAACAAAGCCGATGCTCTGTTCAACTGGCACATATGCATGCACAGTGAACAATGGGGAGCCTTCTTGCATTTCCTCCTTGATGACTCTTGCCCGTCTCCGGGCAAGAACTGCATACACGGCGCCCAGAAAATCAGTTGGGGTGTTCAGCTCACAAAAATACATCCCCTCGACCAAACGAGGCTTCTTCTGAAGCACAGCTGCTCGACAGGCATCCTTGACGGCCGTCATGACTTGTCCAGAGAAAACACCATACTGGTCTACTACCTGGGGTGCAGATGAATCAGCGCCACTAGAATTCACATTAGATGGGTGTATGAATGCCTCAATGGAAAATGCCAGTCCCCACATGGGTTCATCACATAAAGGTCCAGCTGCAGTGGCTAACTGAAACCCTGACATTACACTGCTCTCAAGACTCTCTACTTCTCTCAACAATATTTTATCGGGTGAGGATTCGGAAGGTGAAGTGCTACTGCTGGATACTAAATCCAGAAAACCCAATTTTTCAGATACGTGAGGGAAGCCTCTGATGAGAACTGAAGAACCGTCACCATCACCGGTTTTTAAATCTGGCGTGAGGAGAATGTTAGGCCCAACTTGCCAAGGTCCTAGAGCCCATATCCTCTTTACAAACTTCTGCCACAATTTTTGGAATTTTTCAATCCTATCAGATTCTTCTGTTCCTGCAATTCGAGCAATATATTCACTCTCCACAGCATCCTCCATTCGTGTTTTGAGTGCTTCAATAGGATTCTCATCTTCTATTACGCTAGTAGCGCCTTCCAGACTTTTAAAAGTGTGCAATGATGATTTACCTCCAATCACACTTCCAAGCAGAGATGAACTTTCATCGAGCAGCTTAGTTAATGCATTTGGAAGCTTCACAACTCGCACTCGAACAACACATCTTCCATTTGGTGTTGTTTTCTCAATAAAGTCATTGCCTTTATTCAACATTTTCAAGTTTTCAAGAAAGGTTAACATGTCTCCTTCAATGGTCTCCCTGAATGATACAAGGGGTTTTGAGACTTCCAAATTCACCTTTGCAAATCTCTCCACTAAATCTTTAATGCATCTCTGAAGATGTACCTCTCCTGCAGCAGAAAGCACATGTTCACCTCTGGCAGAAACGGTAACCTCAACAAATGGGTCCGCGCGGTTCAGAAGCTTTAAACCCTTCATGAGCGCACTCATTTCAGAAGGATCAGAAGGCTCAATTGCAACCTTAAGAGTGGGTGCAACCTGGAAAACCATACTCGAGAAAGGCCAGCAGTTGAGTGTAGATGAAAGGGTAGCACTTTTCAATATGTGTTGGCCAAGACCTCTAATGGCAATAACATTCCCTGCCTTAGCAGAAGCGACAGGCTTCAATCCTTGACCCATCATTAGATACAAACCATGCAACTCAGCCTCCTGCACATGTTTATGGACCGACTCATCAGCCTTCAACGGATCATAAAGAGCAGAAAGAACAAAAATCTTCTGCCCGGAGTGAAGAACCCCACTAAATATCCTGGCAAATGCTAGGAAACATTCTTCGTCGGGATCACCGTTTTCACTTTCATTTAAAGTTTCTCCACGGGGAAGCAGTTTAGATGAAACAGCAAACATCTTTGACACAAATGCAACACAAGGTGCTTCATCGCTGGCATCACATGTCTCCACTGATTTCCTTACAAGTTCAGCTTGAGCAAACACATCAGAGTTCCCCCCACCATCTTCTCTCTTTGGAAGCAAGCGAGATATTCGAAAAGACTGGGCAGACACAGGGTCAGGCATGCATTTAACAACCATCGACAAAACAGTGTTGGATAAGGGAAGCCAGCGGCTCATAACTGATTGAAGCAATGCTTTTGTGTCTCTATGCTGAAGCTCACGGGCAGGTATGGACAGATTGAATGACTTGATGACTTTCTCAAGCATCCCCTTGCCACCATCCCCTTCAAGGGAAGCTTGGTAAACCTGCCACAGTGGCTCAAGCACAAACTGTACAAACATTGGCCGAGCTTTGGACACACTACTAATTCCCTTCTTGCCCACAATCATCTTCGTCTTTGGGTTGAAATACCTAGGGCCCCACAACGCCTTTCTCAGTACAGATGAACTTGCTCCGAGTTTGGAGGCATAAAATTCAGCAAAATCACTAATACTGAAGCCCCACCCGTCAAGTGCGCATACAAATACTACATTACCCTTCTGGGGTTGAAACGTGTCCTCTTCATGATCATCTATCGAATCAAAGCTCTCATCATTCATATCTCCGGTTTGGGAGGATAGAAGCGAATCAACATCTGACAAATACTTTTCGGACTTGTATCCACTCATGATCCCATTCACTTCATGGACAATCCTTTGTAACCGGGTATACGCCTCCATAGGACTCATTTTTAATTCAGAAATCAACCTATCTATCTTATTCAAGACGAGGCAAGGTGTAAGCTTCTCAATCCATGCTTGGCGAAGAACAGCATGGGTCTGAATATGAACACCCTCTACTGCATCAACCAATACTAAAGCTCCATCACTCAAGCGGGCAGCAGAGGATACCTCACTGCAGAAGTCCATGTGTCCTGGAGAGTCTATAAGGTTGATACAGTGATCCTGATATTGAAGAGCAATAGAAGAACTCTTCATTGTTATAGCCCGCCTCTGCTCCTCATCCAAGTAATCCATAAACCTAAGCCTGCCAGCTTGCTTCGGGTGAAGTATTCCTCCTCCAGAAGAAGCAATCAAGTGGTCTGCCAATGTGGTCTTGCCATGATCCACGTGTGCAAGAATGCATATGTTCCGGAGCTTTCCACATTCAAAGTCGCTCATCTCTATTATCTTCTCCTAACTGCCTAAATTTTAAGAGTATCAGGTTTACAATTTCAATGCGAATTAAAGAAAACAGGGATTACATTCTAAAAATTCTTGAAAGTAACAGCTGAAAAGAGATTTTACCAGAAGGTGAACAGAATAAATCTTTCTTCGCGTTCGATTTCTTCAAGCACCAATGAAGCTAGAAGGCCCCAGTTCCTGCAATTCCCGGATAGATATATAATGCGTGACAGAAATTTGTATGCGCCCTTTCCTGCCAAAGCTTTATAGTCATTCACTAATTTTAACATGCTTAATAATGTAAATCTGAAAACTTGACATTAGACATACATTTATTGAACTATAGTGTATACAAGAACAGATTAAAAGTAAACCTCAGAGGAGCACAGCTTCACCGAAGGCGCAGCAAGCCAGCAGACTGAACAAATTCTTCCATTTTTTAGTCTTCCTGCGACAACAGCAAGAACAACAGATAAATCAGACGACTTGAAATTTTAAAACACAAATGAGATGACTTCGTTCAGCAGCTTGGCACATAAATCAGACTACTTGCCGCCGGGCACCGCAGATTAAAAACAACAAAAGCTTCGGGGGCGCTGGAAGATATAATAGATATATATACCTACAGGACTCCGGCGAAGTGGGGCGCCGGAACCGGTTCGCCCCGGCCTGGGTTCCGCCACTGTCGACAATCCGCCGGACAATCCGCCAACCCTAAGAAGAATATAAAAAATTAAACAAGTCTGAGAGTTGATTACATACCGTCCTTTCCATCGCCGGGCCTTGTTCACAAATTGGAAGCACGGAAGTACTGGTTTGATTAGCTTCTCTGTGTCTGGGTTTGCCTTGGAAAGGTAAACAGCGGACCGGCTCTTGTGGAACTATTGGATATTTACTTCTTTCTTGGGTTTAAATGTAAATAATAAAACAGAATTTAGTAATACATGTAGGATGCTTACGTGGCTTCAGGAAACAATTTGATTGGTCACCATATTTAGTCTATTTTCATTTTTAGTCGATATCCAGCCCCAGCCCGCGGTCCGCCCCTCCAGGTCTCCAACCATTTCTAATTTTAAATTTTTACTCCGTAACAAGAATCCAGATAGAAGTTCTTCTGCGCAGCAACTCCAGTCATCAAGTAGCCAACTACGCGTCCAGCAAGGCCACAATCTTCTTCCTAGTTCCGCCGTTCTGCGTAGCAGCATCACCATTAAGCCAACGACGAGCGAGGAGGGGTGACGCCGTTCTGCCCGCCTTTCCGGTCGCCCGGAGACCGTCCCTTTCCCGTAAGTTTTCAAATTTAATGTGTATTTATGTAGTTTGTTTATTATTATTTCTATTTCTGAAATTGTTAGTTCTTTGTGAATTGTGTGCAAGATTGTGGAGTTCATTCATAATTAAACCATTTTTTTGTGCAAGTCTATTGTGGAGCTTATTTGTTGTTAATCTCATTTAATAAATTGTGAATTGTATTGTAATCGTGGATTTGTTGATTTAATTTCTTTTAATGCTATTTTTACAATTATACTCATTTTACTTCCATTCTAGTCTTTCTAGGTTGTTTGACAAAGAATTCCTATTAAAAGAATTTATGCACCTATTCTTAATGGTAGTAAAGGGTCGAACCTTTTTAGGTAATGTGCCCTCCAAGATCTCTGAGCTAGATCCGCCACTACGACTAAGTGATAGGAGGAGGTATAAGTTTTTTATTTCAAACGAAGACATATGTTCAAACAACTAAACTATAAATGATGTGTATAAAGTAATTTTTCAAAATTTCCGAGCTCTCATGTACGTTTGTTCGATGCATTTAGTTGTACTTCACATATGAAGTGATATAATAAATAGATATCTTTTGCTTTGTTTAATTTTTGGTCGTTTGAATTTAGCCATTTAAGAATGGTCTCGTATGTCGAGCAATTAGTTTACTGTTACTCCCTCCGTCCCTTACAACATTGTTATCTTTTCTTTTTTGGCGGTCTGGAAACCTTTGTCACTTTTCTTTTAAAGAAGTTAATTTGTGGTTCCTATTATTTCTCTCTTTGCGCACAATTCTCAATCAAACTTGCCAAACTTTTTTGGTTCCTAGTATTTTTCATGTTAATCAACTTAACAAAGTTGTAGGATGAAGGGAGTATTTACTATTCAGAAGACTAAGTTATGATTTAAATTATTCAAGTAGGTTCTATCTAAAATACTCTCAAGAGTAATTCCAATAAATAGCCTAACGAATGGATTAATTTAGCTTTATTGAAGAGTCCAAAACCAATTCCGATTGATTAAGCCTAATAAATGAACACCTACTTGCTATAAAAGAGTTCTACAACAAATGATAAACATTGCTTTTCTCTACCAAATGAATTATTAAATAATTAATTAATTGAAAGTGATGTTTCATACGTAGTATTACAATTGTTAACCAATTAAAGGATGACACATCAACATTTTAAAACTCAACTTTACTATATAAAACAATAGATATATTGTGCAATGCACGTATCACTTACCAGTATTACCAAAAACTAAGTAATGGATAAAAAAGAGACATTTTTTTGTTTGAATACACTTTACTTAATGACCCCAATGTCCACTTCCGTCCATAGTGACCAACACTGGCCAATGATCAACTGGACACTGACCCTGCCACCGACCACAATGACCGCTGCCGGCTCCAGTAATTACCGCTTCCAGCTAGGGACTACCGCTGGTCATAACATGTGCAGTGAGCCAGTGACTACCACCTCCTAGTGACCAGTTTTCAACAATCTCCATCCAGAACAACTAGCCACACCGCAACCCCATCCCGCTAGTACTGTGGCATTTCACCCCCTCTGGGTGACACCACCTACTGCCCACCTCCTCAGCCCCCTACCCAGTACAGCCCATGTCTCCATTCTCCAATCCTCGGACCACTGCGGCCCCTCCGCTCCCCAACCCCCGCACCATCGTCACTACCCCACCCAACAACCTCTGCCCAACCCAGTCACTATCGCCCTACACTCAAATCCAAAACCCTAGTCCTGATTCAACGAGGCGGCTGAACACATAGATGAAGAAGAAATATGTTTCAGTCAATGGCGGGAGGTGTGGGTGACGGCAGAAGCGCAATAGACGATGTCAACAGAGGAAGCACGGGCAACACTGGCGGTCGGTAGGCGCCGGTGGACGGGAGGCACCGGCATTGGCTGGCAGCCGGGAGGTTAGTGGAAAATACCAGATCTGAAAAAGAGAGAAGAAATGTGGATATTAGGGGTTGATGTTCTATTTATAGTAGGGATATTGCTAGTTCAAATATAATTTGTCTCTTTTTGTCTAAAGGAAAGCTTGTATCTAGTATTATTTATTACATTATTTTTTTGTTTCAAACTATTCTCTCTTTTTTTTCAGTACTTGTGCAATGTTGTATGCTTTTTTTGAACTGAATTGGTCTAGTGTGGTACAATTGTGTATTTTGGTTAAATATGATCTTATCTATTTTGGTCTGGTCTCACTCTTTTTTATAGTGTGGTACTTGTGTATTACAATTGTGGAAGTCTATTTTGATTAAATATGATCTTATCTATTTTGGTCTGGTCTCATTTGGAAGTGAATCCTAAAATTCTTAATATGGAATGCAAGCAGTTTTTTCTAAAACCAATGAAATACCTGTAGCTGAAAAGGGCAAATATCCGCAGTTTGAGTATACGTATCACGGAGTACTTGACAAGGATACATCTCTCTCTAGGGATCGAGAAAGTTATTGACCGAGCGGAGGCAACAAATTTGCGGGCTACAATACGGCCAGTCATCTGGACTCATATTGTCCATATTTGTATTTCATGATTGTGTTTTATCACCTCAATGAGTGAAATGAGTTTAGCCAAAGAAGCTCCAGAATCTGGAGAAAGTGGTTTGCACAAAGGAGAAGAATTTGGAGCTGAAGATGTAGAAATTTATTCCCAGGAAAATGTTAGGGAAAATAATCGAATTGGGGATTCAATTGATAGGATCAGTGAATTACCAGATTGCTTACTTATTCACATCATATCTTTTTTGGGTGTGAAGAAAGCTGCTGCTACGAGTATTTTGGGGAAAAGATGGCAGTTTCTTTGGTCTGAATTGTGGAGCCTTGAATTCAAATATTATGATTGGGGTAAGGGTAAGAGTAAGGAAACTAAGAATACAATTGACTTTGTGGCGTGGGTTAATAGGATCATTGCTACTCGTCGTGGAAATTACCTTGAGAAGATGATGGTTGATTTCAAGTATGAGGATTGCTTTGCTCCAGATGTTGATAGCTGGTTTGAGTTTGCCTTGAAAAATAAGGCGAAAGAGATCACTTTTAGATTAGGCGACAGCAAAGATTTCTACATTCTTCGTGAGTTGATGTATTCGAATTCATTCTTGACATCATTGTCTTTGAAAGGTTGCATTTTGGGTCCTGAAAGATCAATCAAGTGGTCATCTTTGACTAAATTACAGATATCGGGAGTGAATTTACCTCAGTCTGTAGTTGAAAAGATATTATCGGGCTGTCCTGTCTTGATTTCCTTGGATCTGAGCGAGTGTTGGGGATTCGCTGTTTTGGAGATCAACTCTCAATATCTATGTGAATTGCGGGTAATGGACCCTGAAAATGAAGAAAGTGGGGGTTTCCTGCAAATTTCAGCACCATACATAAAATATTTCAAACTTCGGTTTAATGCTGTAGGAAGACAGATAAAGTTCAAAGACATCTCATCTCTTATCAGTGCTGATATTGATTTGAGTGAACCCATTTGGGATTTGATAATCCCTGAGGATGTGCTGAGTAATACAAAGGAAATTTGCGAAAAGATTCACCATGTTAAGGAGCTTGCACTGGGTTCTGAACCGCTTAAGGTATGAAGCTCCAAGCTTTTTGTCATTCTTGTGTTTCAAAAGTTGAAATTCAAATTATCTAGCTCAACTTATAATGTTGTCGCTCAATGGGATAGTCTCATTGGATAGTTGCAGTTATCTAAAACTATTAACTTTCGAAATAGTCTACTCTGAAATTTAATTGTCGGTTGCTCATTGTTTTCAAAGGAAGACACTACGATAATGCTGCTGGAGCTGTTATTCTTATGCAACCATGGGGTTATAATGATAATATAGTCGACAAACCCATGTGGACAAATGCACCTCGTTCACTAGTCTCATGGCGTTAAGTGAACTGAAATATCTATACTTTCTATATAGAATTGGAGAAAATACATTTTAGATGAGTAAAATGAGTTTAGAAAAAAAATTGTGCAAAACCAACTTCTAAAAATTGTACATGCATGTAATATTTGAGAGGCAAAACCAACTTCCAAATTCATCAAAGAGTTACCTTCAGGAGTGTCATGGATGTATTACGTGTTTCCAAGAAAGAGTTACACTTAACTAACATTATTAATTGCCTTTTATTGTTTTGACAGCAATACAGAGATATCATGGGAAGAATAAAGTATCTTGAGTTATCTTAGTGGTTTTTTTCACAGTTATTATTACTAACTTCATATCCTGACTTGGTAGTCTTTGTTTGTCTGCTGCCCGGTAAAAACAATTTGTTTTGCTCCTATGAGGTGATCATTCACATATTGAAGTGAAATGTCGTTTAAATTCTGGAAGATTATTGGTCAACCATGGATTTATAATGTCCGATGAATCAATAAGTATTCAGAAGTAGGTGTGGATTCTAGAAACTGAATCAATGTAAACGGAATCACAACCTAAATAAACTGAACTGAAAAAAACTGAAACCTAGTGCAAGAAAATGAAATGTAATTATTTGGTTCAATTTCAGTTTTGTACATTCAAACCGAACCGAATATCTTGAACTTTTAAAATATGAAAGTTTATTTATTGACCATTACACATTAATCCTAATTAATGTTATTGTTAGCCTTTGATTTTCAAGTACTAACTAATTAATGTGTGATGTTATATTATTATTTAATTTTGTTCAAATATTCATTTACACTTCAATTCCCTACTATAATACAGAGTACAATATTGATATATTGATTTTATATTCATTTGTTTTGTAGTTTGTAGAAAAATTGTGATGTATTTTTGCTGCTTATCCATAGTACTAGTGTACTATGAGTTTTTTTTGTATTGTTGTCAAAATAAATATTGTATCATTGTCATACAAACCCCAACTTTTTGTATCTAAAGTTTTTTTATTGGAGTATTTTGATAGCATACTGGAGTAGTTTTTTTCACATAACATTTTGATAGCATAAAGGAGTGTTTTTTTTGTATCTAAAGTCTTTTTATTGATAGAACTCATAAATATTTTCACGTTTACTTAATAAGAAAAAGATTCGTGAACTTTTTTATAACTAAACCCAAAAACTTTTAAGTTAAAAGCGTGTATATTCTTGTCTAGAAAAGACTTTTTTAATTAAAACTGCCAAACAGGAAAAAATGTTTTTATTAAATAAAAATGAAGGATAGAATGTACATAACTTTAAAAAACCTTTTAAATTTTCATTTTCTATACACAATACTATATAATCATACTCTACAAACTGTTCCGAAAAATCAGAAAAATATGTTTTCTTTAACGTATAGGTCACATATATATTTATTCCTTTACCATTTCTATTTCATTGTTTATCCAGTTTGTTTGAATTATTTTTTTATGTTGCAGGTTTATTTTTTCGAACTATTGTGTCACTTTTTTTTTTCCATATCATATGACAACATTTTTTGTAAAAAACTAGAAAACCAAACCAATTAAGTCGTGGTTTCATGCTTTGAGAGTCAAAACGAAACTGTATCGAACATTAACTTTGATTCCGTTTTTTATTTTAGGTCAAAACTGCACTCACTCCTATTCAAAAGTCATTTTCTTGTGTTGAATATATGTACGCAGGTCTTCTATTGTATATATACTATGCAGTTATAATACAGAGTATGTGTTTTTCTGCAACATGTATATTAGGCTCTTGCTGCACTGGTGCTTAATGGTTGGCAGCTTCCAAATTATAAGCTAAGATGCTTGAAAATAGATATGGCATGTCACGCATTTGCTGGACAAACAATTCCTTGCATTTTTGAAGTGCTGGAATCTTCTCCGGACATTGAGACATTGGTCCTGCAGTCTTATTTCCCCGATGACGTAAGTGTTAACTATTCAAGTCTTGATTTTCGGTAATTATGCTCTGTAGGTAATAAATATTTTATGATAAAATCTGTGCTTACTCCACATTATTAAATATATATTTGTTTAATATTGTTTCAGGTAATTAACATATATGCTCTGTAGGTAATAAATATTTTATGATAAAATCTGTGCTTACTCCACATTATTAAATATATGTTTGCCTTAAATTTGTTGTGATTCTAGTTGGACCATGACTGGGACGAACCTACAAAGGACAGTTTGGTTTGTGACTTGTTGCATTTGAAGACGATCAGAATGTGTAGGATGGCAGATCCAGAACATGCTGGTGAACCGATGCTTTCGTTGGCTCGAATCCTTCTTAAGAGTACACCAGTATTGGAAGAGATGGAGATTTGTCTTCATATTAAAGATATAAATGTCTTTGTCAATATAGGACAAACCTTGCTGAGTTACCCCCGATCCTCACCAGAGGCTGTCATCGATCTCTATTAAATTGTTGGCTTTTAGGTGTTCATTTTCTCAACTATGTAAACATTTATTATAGCTACTCTTAACTTTTTTCCTATTTTTCCGAATTTGCTACCAGTGGCATGTTTGTGAATTCGCACACACTCCCTTAATACCACTCTTGGTGAAGTGATGTATGAATTCATCCTTCACATAATTGACTTTGCATGTTTCTATTTTGGATCCTCGAAGAAAACTTCAGTGATCGTCTTTGACTGTATTGGAGATATGAATAGTGAGCTAGAATTGCTAAATATGACAAAAAAAAAAAATTTACTCCATATTTAAAAATTAAAACCGTATTTTGTTAATGAAATAGAGAAAAATATTTCGTGTGACAAAAAGTAACTTTTTACCCAGTAAGGTCCAAAACTCGAAGGAGTTTTGGGGTGGGGTTGGGGAACATTCCACCAATTTATTAAAAAGAAAAGGATTTAGAAAGAGTAGGAAGATCAACCTGATGTCGACCTGATGTCGACTTGGAAAAACAAATTAAAAAAAATCGTAAATTACAAAATAACATAAGGGAATCCTATGGCATCAAATTTCAGGGGTAAACGAGGGGTAAACGATTGCTGCCTTGTTAATGACTTTGAGGGAGATGAATTGTCGATTCAAAATTCTTCGAATGCAGGTAACAATGTAAATGTCATCCCAATATCCAACACAATGCGTCATAAATCATAATTGCTCGGCTGACCTTCTTGTCATCAATTTGGATGGAATTAAACACCAACTTTTTATTGCTACAAAAACTTAAGACGTATAAGATGTAGCTTATAAGAGCAAATAGTAACAAGGAGATTGCCGCTATGGTTCCTAACAAGGAGATTGCTATTGTTTAGGTTTCGTTTCTTTTTGTTGTTGTGGAAGAACACTACTTTCTTGAACAGCTCTTGTTGTTTTTGTTTGTTGTGTGTCTTGTTGTGTGGCTTGGTTGTTATTATGGATATGCTTGTTGAGACTTATAGTAAGATTACCAGTAGATTACCACTGCTGAGGATGAAAATAGGGGCTTGGTTCTCGAAGCAGACTTGGTAGGGGGTGATAGCGAGGGCGATGGGTGTGTTTGTTTCTTGGCTATGACAAGAGTGGTATCAGATAAACCTGTTCGTCCAATCTCTTTTCTTGAAACCATGGCCATGGTTTGGCGACAAATTTGGGGAGTGACCATTGAAGAATTGGTGCGTCCGAGTTTCTTATCCAATTTTATCATGAGGGTGACATTAGTCGTGTTGTTGAAAAGGGACCGTGGTCTTTTGAACCGAAATTAGTAGTGGTAAAAAGACGAGGGCATACTGATAGGCATCTTCAAGTGTCATTGGATCGTGCAAGATTTTGGGTGCAGGTTCACAATTTGCCTTTAGGGTACATGACGGCTAAAGCAGCTCGTGGAATTGGTGACAACATAGGGAACTTTGTCCAAGTAGATGAGCTCTTCCTCGGGGGGACAAAGACTGCTCTTACGAATAAGAGTCACAATTAATGTCAATGTGGCTTTGATCCGGAGATTGCAGATCCAACATGAATGAGATAATTGTATATGGGTAGATTTTAGATGCGAGAGACTTTCAAACTTTTATTTTTGTGGGATTACTTGGACATGTTGATCGTCTTTGTCCATCCAAGTCTCATGCTGGTCCTCGGGTGGGACAAAACGTATGGGTCTTGGCAATGTGCAGATACACGGTGAGGTGGTATGCACCCGGGAAATATGTGACTGATCCCTAGCGGAAACAAACCGAGTGAGAGGCAGGAGGATGTGGACATATTGGGTAATTCGATTATAAAGGTGGCAGCCCCGGGCAGTTATATGGTGGAAGGCTTAAGCTCAAAGGATAAGGAAGTGGCCATTCAGGAGGAAGAACCAAGGAAACGCAGGATAATTGAAGTGGCTAGTATACAAACGCTCAAGCAATCATTGAAGTAGATGAAGCGGATCCAAAATAAACTTGCAAGCACACCGCCCGAGCCAGTGAAAGAGAATCTTTGTGGAAAGGGAGAAGGAGAGCTCCCCCCAATACCTTTGGCGGTGGCTAGTCAAACCGCGCTTTCTCTCCCAATGGCTGTAAACATTGAAATTAGTTAGTTTTATTTTTGTTCTCTTTCTTGAAACCTTTTTGCTTCTATTATTTATCAGTCTAGTAGCAAGTGCAACAGTGTTGTCAATGTTCTAAAACACGCTAGGCGCTAGTTAGGCGTCAGCCCAGCGCCTAGCGCCTAGAGGCTAGACGGGCGCCTAATCGGGGACTAGTCGGAGATATAGAAACTGCATTTTGCTCTATACTTTTGCATAAATATGGTAAGTAATATTGTATTTGTGTGTGTATAAAATACATATTTACACATACTTTAACAAACATGAATGATAGAATTATGACATTTAATCATATGTAGTATATGATAACCAATCACATAACTTCATTATGTTATAAATATAAATAATAATAAAATTTAGGTATATATACCAACATTATAGTTTTATCTCAATTTATAATTTATTTCTTTATATCCGTTGCTAAAGTTAAAGTAATATCGCTTAGAAAACAAAAATTAAAAAGTAAAATAATGTTCGGTGAATCTAGATGGCCTAGGCGGCCAATTAGGGGCTCTGGGCGGGCAACTAGATGTCATAGGTGACTAACTAATTCACCTAAACGGAAAACCAATTAGTCGGAGCGCCTAGATGAAAATTGGGACGTCCGGCTACTGCTTATCGCTTAGATGAGGACTAGTTGAACGCCTAAAACGATTTTTAGAACGTATAGTGCTGTTGGTGGAGTCTATCATATTGTGTGGTTAACGAGTTGGTTCGTCACTAAGCGATCATCCAAACTATATGTATCATCTCAGTGTAGCTTTTAGTTTGACGGCTTTGAGTTAACTTATATTTTTTCAAAAAAACAAGAAAGGTCGTGCTATGAGCAATGCCTGTTTGGCTAGTAGCGAAATTGATGGTAATATTGTTTGTATTCGGGGTACCATTTAATGATGTTTGGTCTGTCACTTCAATTAGAAGTTCGACTTTGTATTTGAACAATCACTATAATTTCATTTATTTCAATTATTTGACAGCGCACACTCACAAATTAGAAGTTCAACATTTATAAAAAAGTTTCAAAAAATAAAGGGAAACTATCAAATAAGTCCCCGTATAAAAAATAGAAAAAGTTTCATATTAAGCTGAAAAAAGTACCATCAATCAAGTTATCAAATACTATGTACTCCGTAGTTCATAATTGCAGCGATGGACGATATACATGAAACTATGAAAGAGTAATAAAATTCATATCTTAATAGAGGTGAAATCTCCGGTACCCATTTAAAAATGAGACATTTTACCTACCATTCACTTGATTGGTCCAAACATGTATATCATTTTTAATTTAGACTCAAATAATTTAATTACAACATTCTGATTGGTTCATGTAGACAAATGTATGGTAGATGGTACTTTACGAGTACCATAGAATCTACCCTTAATAAATTATTAAAAATAATCATATTGGATAGAAAGGAGCATCTCATTCTTGATGTCTTTCAAACGGTCGAAGGGATTGTTAAGATGATTAAATTGGACTCTGATCACAATTAACCTAATCTGATTAATGGACAATTTTTCTAAATAAGATTAAAAACTTTTATATATTCCAAAATAGGATTGTTATGTTTATGTACTCTAAATATGAGTAAATACTATCATCTTTTGGAATACTATCATATGGTAGTACCAAACTTTCCACATTACAATATTTTTCAGGTTTGTCAGTAATTACTCATATTTAGGAATAAAAACATGATAGTCCAATTTTGTAATTATGAAACGTTTTTACTCCTATTTTGCGATTTTTTCACTCATTGATGTAGTACATACACCTAGTACTTTTGGCTTACAAGGCTTTTAAAAAGGGGAATAATCAAATAAATCCTTCTACTATTCACAATCTATCACTTAAGTCCTACTAAAAACATCATTAAAGTACACTTACTTTTTTAAAACATTAAAGTAATTTTTTTAAAAATCAACCAAGTCATTTTGACCTGCTATAACATGTTATTTAAAAAAAAACATTAATTGAGACTATTGATAAAACTTATAAAATCCATATAAATTTTAAAATTAATGTAATAATAATATAAAATAGAATAAATTTAAAATTAGATAAATAATTCAAAAATAAAATAAAATAAAGAGGGTTTTCCTAAAATATTATAAAAAAAGTCATGAACAAAAATATGACTTGATAACTTTTATTGACTATAATTATCTTCAGAGTTTCTATCGTAGTCACTATATCATAGTAACTTTGGACGCAAATATAGTCACTAAAAGTTACCAAGTAATATTTTTGTCCATCATTTTTTCAAAAGTAATATTACTTGATTTTTTTCAAAACAGTATAAAATCAGAAAACTCAAAAAATATAGTGGAAATATAAAAACATAATATAATTTTCAAACTAGACGTAGATATTCGAAAATTTTAAAATTTTCAAAATAATTGACTGTAACATTCTAAAAGTTTTCACAATTTTTACCTATATTTCTTCAATCTTTAATAATATTTTAGACTTTTTAGTATAAATTGAATAATTGTCTAAATTGATCAATTTCTTAATGTAAACGTACTTATATGATACTTTTTTTTAATATATGAATTTACGGGATGAATTGAGAATAATAGAGTGATTTATTTGACTCTTTCTATTCAAAAAAAGATATACGGTATATAGTATTCCCCCGTTTCAAAAATGTTGGCCAAAGTTGACTTTCACGTGAATTAATAAAGTAAAAAGTGTATGATTGAAATTTGTGATATACAAAAAAAGAAATTTGGTAACCTTTTGATTCAAACCACATGTTTTACCCAATAGACCAAATGGCCAATACCCTCACCCAGAGTCCGAAGTCCGAACCTAATCTGGACCGAAGCCACTGGGTCAACTCTTGCTTTTCACTGACCTAGCTTAGCTAGCTAGCATATATCTTTCCAGGCGGCGTTGCATATGATGGTCAGTTGTTTGAGATTTGAAGTTGTGTGTATTGTTATTTGATTTCATTACATCGATGAGTGAAAAAACTCCAGCTAAAGAAATACAAGAATCTCGAGAGTACAAGTATGACCACGAAGGAGATCAGAGCTGAAAATGTAGAAATGTATTCAGAGGAAAATGGTAGAGCGAACAAACGGATTAAGGATTTGCCAATTGATAGACTTAGCGAATTGCCCGATAGCTTACTTATTCACATCCTCTCTTTTTTGGGTGTGAAGCATGCTGCTATGACGAGCTTGCTGGGGAAAAAATGGAAGTTCCTTTGGGCTGAACTGCCTACGCTTGAATTCGAATTCTATTTCTGGGATAAAAACGAGAAGCCTGACAAAATACTTAATTTTGTCGACGGGGTTAATAAGACTCTTGCTACTCGTAGTGAAAATTATCTGGAGAAGTTGAAGGTTGTTTTTAAGTACAGGGAACGCTTTGCTCAAGATGTTGATAACTGGCTAGAGTTTGCCTTGAAAAGTAAGGTGAAAGATATCCATTTGAGCATAATCTTCAGCGAAGAGTTCTACACTCTTCTTGAGCTGATGTATTCCAATTCATCATTGACATCATTGTCCTTGCGAGGCTGCATCTTGGATCCTACAGGGACAATACAATGGTCGTCTTTGACCAAATTGCAAATTTCGGAAGTGGATTTGCCTCAACCTGTAGTTGAAAAGATATTATCAGGTTGTCCAGTTTTGAATTACTTGCAACTTTGTGAGTGTTGGGGATTCACTTGTTTGAGTATCGCATCTCGAAATCTATGTAAACTTTGGGTGCAGGACCCTGAATCCGAAGAAACTAAACAGGTCCTGCAAATTTCAGCACCCTATGTAAAATCTTTGATTCTATGGGTGACTCTTGAAGAAACACAGCTGAAGCTAATAAACATCTCATCTGCTGTTGATGTTTTATTTTGTTTTACTGGATTCTTGTCCGATTTGCCTTCCGATAATGTACTAAGTAATACAAAGGAGTTTTTTCAAAACATTCAGCACATCACAAAGCTTCGACTGGGGCCTGGCCCTGTTAAGGTTGGTATTGATGCTCTAAGCTTCTTGGACATTCTTTTGTTGTGAAGTTCATTTGATCTTCTAGGTTTCAGCCACACTTTTATATATTGATATTGTCTGCCAATAGGGAGAGTATAAAAAAAGGGATGCCCGGTGCACAATGGTATTCCCGCAACGCGAGGTCCGGGAAAGGTTCCCACCAAAAGGGTGTATAAGGAGCAAACCTTCTCTTGTCATTTTGACAAGACGCCGCTCTCAAAACATGAACCGGTGACCTCTCAGTCAAATAGCAACACCATAACCGGTTTCCAAAGGCTCCACTTCTCAATAAGTAGAGTCGTAGAGAATAATCGGATATATTTTAAGATACTCTTTGGCTCTTTTCCCTGAAATTCAATAGTTGGTTGCTGTTTTTTTCAAAGACAGACACGACAGTGAACCTGCAGAGTTGGTATTCTTATCCTGCCAATTCTTATATGCTACAAAACATGGGTTATGATGATTATATAGTTTGCTAAACCATGTTGACAAGTGCATGTTTCATTCACTTGTCTCATGGAAATGACGGAACCAGTAACTCTATATTACTTGTTCCAGTAACTCTGTATTACTTGTTCAGAGCTATGGGAGAAAATACATTTACAATAAGGAGAGAGAGCCTATAAAACGACATTCATGCATTGCGAACTTCTTATGCAAGTAAAGATACATCACTTTTTGTGTAGCACTAACTGTACTTTTTGCATATGGCACTAATGCACTATACTTATATAGTTTTCACCAGGATGAAAACTATGCATACATGCAATCTTTTAGTTGCATAATACTCTCTTATTGTTCACATTTAGTTGCATCTAAAACATTTTCACGGAATCTAAGAGTCAAATTGTAGAGCTGCTGAAAAATGTAGAAAAGATAAAAAAGAATAATTGAAAAAGTAGAAAAATTAGGAAAGAGAAAAATTGAATCTAAGAGTCAAATTGCAAGTAATAATGAACTTCTACAAAAGGAAAGTGTAAAAACTAAAAGTGAACGAAGATATAAAAAATTTATTAGTAAAGATATAAATACCATCAAGGGTGTCACAATTGTCTTATGTTTTTTTAACCCGGTAGGCAAACCACCCATCAATGGGGTAAATGTCGGGGAACATTAATATTATTAATGCGAATAAAAATACAAATAGAGAGGGGGACTAGACCAAAATCTCTCTAGAGAAGGCATACCTCCTCAAAATACATGAATAAAAGAAAGAAAATCCTACGAACAAGTTTCACCGGGGGGGCCAAACCTTACCCGCGAATAAAAGTAGAACGAAAGTATGGTAAACCCAAATTATTTCAGACGTGAGGCGTTAAGTTTTCTACGGAGGTGACTTGGGCAACAAAGTTAATAAGCTTTTTTAGTGTTTTTCCACGGTTACCAACTCAATTCTTAAGTTAGTAATTTTTGCTTCTATGAGGGAGCACTGACATATTCAAGTGAAAATATGGTGTAAATCTTGAAAGTTGAAATGGTCAAATACGGATTTGAAGTACTTGCGTTTTAGATGAATATTAAGAGTTTATGTTCCTGTGTTGGATATTTGCATGCAGATCTTACATTTTATATCATTTATATCTGTAATATATGTTTTTCTGCAACATGTGTAATAGGCTCTAGCAGCGCTGGTGTTGGATGGTTGGCAGCTTCCACAAAATAGGCTAAGATGTTTGACAATAGATATGGTATGTGATGCTGCAGAAACCATTCCTGGCATTTTAGGCCTGCTGGAAGCTTCTCCCCACCTCGATAAGTTAATCATTGATTCTATTGACCCATATGTGGTAAATATTCTCCATGCATGCCTTGAATTTTCAATATTTTTGTATGAATGTTTGTTTAGCTTTATTTTTATGTTGTTAACATATTTGATTTCTAGCATTTCAAGATATACTCAGCATTTTCTCAGTGTAGGTTTGTCTTAATTTTGTTGTGGTTGTAGTTAGATGAGGATTGGGTCCCACCTGCAAAGGGTGATTTGGATTGTGACTTATTGCACCTGAAGACGATTAGAATGTCTAACTTGGCCAATCCAAATCTTGGCGGTGAACCAATGCTTACATTGGCCCGAATTTTTCTCAAGAGGGCAACTGCTTTGGAAGAGATGAGGATTTGGGTTAATATTGATGATACAAATGAATTTATCAAGATAGGTCAAACCTTGCTTACATACCCGGTTTCCTCACCAAACGCAGTCATCCTCCTACCTTAGATTATTTCCTTTTGTTTGCTGTATGTTTTCACAACTATGTAAACCATTTATGGTAGCTAAGCTACATCTTTTTTAATATGGTCCACACTTCTATCAAATTTCCAGCAGAAGATATCTTTAGTTGGATGTGAATCGAGGTAATAACATGCTTCTTATGAATCACTTTTCTTGTTTTGTCTAACTTGTTGCTTGTGGCATGTTGGGGATTTAATTGTTTGGACTTTCATATTTCAAACACTTAACGTCTACTTATGCTAGAAGATTATAAAGGTGGAAATAGCAAGGCACCCCTTGCTATTTGATAATGAGAGTGGTCATCCTCCAAATATCTGGGGGAAGACTAGTAGCTTACAAATATCTCTTCTGTCGTTGAACGAGTGCTAATACTTTATATTTGAGTGCATTTGGTTGGGATTAGGGTGGACCTGGTCCAGTACTACCCGGAACTGGGATTGGCTGGGTTAAAAATCAAACCTCTTGCTACCATTTTGAAGTTTCAAATTGGAAACAGAACTGGTTTGGACCGGTTCCAGCTTCTCTGTAATCAGACCAAAGCTTTTTAAAATTTTGAATTCGGATTTGAAACGAATATGAAATGGTCCTGAACTGTGATATACACTTATAGCTGACCCTAGGGATTGGGATGCTAGTTTTGTGATAGTTCCGGGGTTGTATGTTGATTTACTTGAACATGTCATGATTGATGAAGTTGAAGTCTCATCTTTCAGAATCACAAATCACTATGTTTCTTGTGTGTTAGACTTTAGAGGCATTGCATCATATACACTTCTGATAAGCACAATAATTACTTATGTTTTACATAGGTAATTATATTTATTTGCACAAAAATATAGAGCGAAAACAGGTAAATATTTCAAAGGGTGCAAAAATGTGAAATATGGCATGGAGCGACAAAAACGGGGTCAAAGGAAAGAAAGGGGTCGAAAACCGGCACTTCTGGATCAATTGCGGACATCGAAACAAGTATAAGAGTGAAGTAAATATTTGGGCGCAACAACCGGTGCCGGTCCTCTAATAACCGGCGTCGGTTGGATCTTAATTTTCCGAAAAAAATACTTATGACCAGCGCCGGTCAGGCCAGAACCGGCGCCGGTTGGGTCGATTTGTTGCTAAAACACAACATCGTGGAAGTTGATTCTTGATGGGAAAACTCCATCTTCCTCAATGCTAATCAAATATTGCTTCCATACCTGATTGTTGGGTTTGAATAGACTAAAAGATGTCATTCATCAAGCAAAGACATTCCATTCCATAGATTAATTCCGAGTTTTTATATTTGTTCTTGCTATTTTTCTTCAAGTTCTTTTGGAGAAGAAGCTATTTCTCTCCTCTACAATTGGTTCTAGGTAATTTTTTTTGTATGTTATTTTATTTCCTTGTTCTTAGTTACACTTTTGTGATTAATATGAGCATTAGTAGTTAATTTCTTAGCTAAAGCTAGTGATAAACCAATAAATTGTGATTTATCCTTTATATATTGATTGTTTATGACTATGGTATACAACATAGGTATGTTAAATTTAGTTTATACTTGCAATTAACGTTGAAGTCTAAACTATGAACATTAAAGGATAAACATATATAGTACCGAGAATAAAAATATATCCGGTCTTATATGATACGGGTGTGATGTCTTGATATTCAACAGGGTTTTCGGTAGATGAATGTAACCCGTAACGGGACTTACACGTAACGAAAATCACGCTCTCGCTGCCTTAACCGGAGTTGAGAATATATTAGTGATAGAGTATATCTAGAGAGAAGTGAGAGCTAGAGAGAGAAGTGCAATAATATGCTTCAATAGAATGAATTTGTCACCCCTATAACTACTCCCAAGGGGAGTATTTATAGAGAAAATACGGGCTGGGCTCCCAAGCCTTGGGCTTGGGAGGCCCATTTACAACTGGACCGCTACTGGGCCGAATACAAAGCCACTAATGGGCTGTACAAATAAGTAAGTGTAAATCCGGTTCTGTGAAGTCTTCGTGGCCGACGAGGGCACGACCGACGAGGGCGCGGCCGACGAGGGCACCCGGATTTCTTGGCTTCAGGACCATAATCTGAGTTGGCACCTTTTCGGCCGACGGGGGCGCCTTGGCCGACGAGGGCGCCACTCTGTGTTTTGTGCTTTCTGTTCTTCCGAGTATGTGGGTCCGGGGGCTCAGACCCATATACTCCATCAGGAGTCCCCCACTCTCTAAGCTGAGATGCAGACGAAGTGAAGGAGAGTAGATTCCCGTGTTTTGTTGCTTTTGGCCGATGCGGGCATTCCCTGGCCGTCAGCTGTTGTGGCGTTGGCGCTTTTTCCATTTTGGTGATCCTGTTCTGTGCTTTGGCCGTTACCTGCTCCTTGCTGTGGGCGGGGGAGGCCGTTGTTTCCTTGATGTGTTTGTTTGGGGATGATAAATGTCCTGCTTCAATGGTGGCCGTTGAAGGCACGCTTTCCCTTTCTTGGATGTTGATGGGTGAAGTTAATGTTTGGGCCGATGAGGCCACTGAGGTTGACCCTTGCTTTGAGGACGATGGCGTCCTTTCCTTTGGGTGGCCGATGAGGGTGTTTGCGCACTCCTTTTGGCCGTCGCTGATCGGCTTTCGTGTTCTTGGCCGAAGAGCCCATCATGATTAACTGTTGGCGGAGGACGATGAGTGTCCTCGCCTTAGGTGGCCTGTTGGCCGTTGTTGATGATGTTATGTGCCTCCGGCCGATGAGGCGCCATTGTGATGCATGGACGATGTGGCCATGCTTTGTGGTTACATTCATGTTCTTTGTATTGTTCCTTTTTGTTTTGTTGAGGCCGGTGTAGTCCCCCAGTCCCCCACTGCTTCAGGCCGAAGAGTGTGAGGGGTGAAGGAGTTGCTTGAGTCCCTGGCCGAAGCGGCCTCTCCGTAGTCCCCCTGAATCCAACCCTCATGGCGATTTTCTGGCCAAGGTAACCCTGTGGGAGAACCCTTGTGCGCAGATCGCTTGTAGAGAGTTATCATCAAGGGTCATTACGAGGAGTCGATGGCTGTGGGTTCTTGGTTCCTTTGGTTCTGTGGTCGTTACGGGCGTTCATTACGTGCCTGGCAGTTGTCGTCTCCTTATTGTTGGCGTTTGTGAATCTGGCACGCACATAGGACGTTGTGGGCACTTGCTGGCACTTGTAAAGCCGGCAAGCGTGTAGGCCGTAGAGTCTGTTTTGCCAGTGGGCTGTTGACATGTAGCTTGGCCCGTTGGTGACGTGGTGGCCTCCCATTGATGGCCGTTGATGTGGCCATTGGGAGGGTGCCACGTGTAGTGACCGTTGGGTGGGGGGTTCTATAAATACCCCTCCCCCTCCGACCAAAAATCTCATTTGCATTCTGAATTGTCGAAGTGCTGGCCAATTTTCTAGAGAGATAAACTCCCAAGCTTGTTCTTCGTGTTCTTCGTGTTCAAGGTTAGTGTTCATCGCAATCTTCTGCACTTTTCATACTTTGCTTCCTAGGCTAGTGATCTAGTGTTAGGCGTTTGAACACCCTTAGATCCTAAGTTAATCTCCTTAGGCTCGTAGTAGTAGTTATGATGAAGAGCTTGAACGAAGACTACTATCCGTACGACGACCAGCCCTCCACTAGGTCACTCGACTATGAGGTGCTCGAGGAGTTCGAGGAGGAGATACAACATTTAAGTCCCTACAAATCCGAAGAGCCGGTGGACGACGAAGTCGAGGACGAGGAGTCCGCCTCATCTTCAAAAGGTGAGGACGCAGCTGCGTCACGAGTGGTGGACGGGGCGTCCACCTCAGCTGTTATTCCGTGCCCGAGGCCGGTGTCCGCCGTTAAGGGAGCCGGCAAGCCGAAAAGAGTGAGGAGGCCGAAAAGTGGATCGGGCATCTCCTACCTGGATCTCACAAACATCTTCCTGATCAAGCCGGAGAGCAGCGCGGCCGACTACCTTGTTGCCCAGATGTACGTGGGGCCGTACGGGTGGGTTAGGGAACCCAGGCTGACGGACCATGTTCTTCTTCCGCCACCGGGATACTTTGGAGTATACCCGATGAGTTTTGCCAAGGGGCTGAGGTTCCCCCTTCACCCCTTCATTACTGAATACCTGGATATGGTAGGGCTCCCTCCGGCCTTGCTGACGCCGAACAGCTATTCTTTGATGGTGGGGTTTTTGCTCCGGTGTGAGGAGCTGGGCTACAGGCCGACGACGGCCCTTTTCATGAATCTGTATCAGATCGGCCGAGGAAGCCACAAAAACTGTGCGGCCTATGCTACTCTTCAACAGCTGCCGAAGAAGAGGAGCTTCACGGGCTTGCCTTCGTCCATTCATGGGTGGAAGAGCAAGTTCGTTTTTGTATCCCTTGGTGAGAGTGGCACCGAGTTTCCCTCTCTCGGCCATACCGGGAGGTTTAATCTGCATGACCCGCCGAAGAGCTCTATCTTGGACGCTCAGGTGGAGGCTTTCTTGGAAGGGGGGCCGAGGAGCGTGAAGGATTACATCACTGAATACAAGATGACCGCCCTCGGCTTCTTGAGATATCATGTGTATGGTGATAAGGAGGATGATCTCCAACTCTGGCCGAGGATGACTACCACCTTCGAAGAGGCCGACGGCCCGGACTTGGGCATTCCTGCTGAGGCCGATGGTAACTATTTCTTCGGCTTTCTTCATTTATGATTTGTTCTTTTGCCTTGCTAATCTGTTGTTTTTTCCTTTGTAGATTTTGTCATGGATCGTCGTTCCATCATGGCTATTGCCAAGGCCAAAGCGGCCGAGGAGTTGGCTGCTAAGGCGGCCGAGGCGGCCAGACGTGCCGCGGCCGAGGGAAGCGGGGCTACTGCTGGTGCGGCCCCAAAGCCTGCCCCGTCCAAGAAGAAGAGGCCGGCCACTGACGGCCAGAAAAAATTGACTGAGGCCGGCCTGAACGTCACAAAGAAGACGAAGAGGGCACCGTCTCCTTCCCCTGCTACCGAGGCCGGTACTCTGACTGTCTCGAGTGTGGACGATAGTGGTCCCGTCGTGGACCTTACTGCTGCTCCAAGTGATGCCGCCCACTCGCTCCCTATCGTCCAGGAGCCACGGACGAAGAGGGCTGGCAAGGAGATTGCCGCTGCCACCTACCAGAAGGTGGTGGAATACCCCGTCGGC